ATGAACAATTAGAGGATGCAATAAGGCTGATCAAGACAAAGAATGTGCCAGAGAAAAGGAATTGGCTAGAGGTCGCATATCAAAAATGGACATGAAGAAAGGAGGCTAAATATTACAATGCACTTGTATGAAGGAGATCTGAGGTAACAGGACTAATCAAATTACCCGAAGTGAGCAGCAAAATACAGTAATGTACAAAACCCCATCCATTATTTGAGTAGCAAGAAAGCCAGTTTGAATATTGGGCTCGTGTTTTCTTTTTCTTCATGGTTTCTTCTTATTTGTTTCCTCCTTATATATGCCCTTAATTTACACAGGAGGTGCACTCCAGGGATCGTGCCTAAAGCCAAAATTGCGTAGTCAAAACACACTGGGCTCAATGGCAGGTGGGATTGCCAAAGTATTTTCTCCCAGACACTTGCCCCCTTTCTGCCCCCTTTTTAAAAAAATAAATAAATTGCCAAGCACATAAAACTGATGGCGTTAAATATGTGTAAGTTGTGGGCTTACTGTATCGCCTTTCTGCCAAGGCACTGAGGGCGGTTTACAATTTTAAAATACAAGAATGAATAAATGGACTAATACGTAAAATAAGCCTGGAGGCATATTCTGTCAGAATATGCACAGTTTGCAGACTTAACATATAGAATAAGAGAACAAGAAGAACATACGTTTAGAGAAGGTTGGAAACGTTCATTGAATATATGGGAAATAATTGTGTACAGCTGATAACGTTGGCAGCATTAAGATAAATTCAACAGTGTGAATAAGTTTTGATGGATGCAATAGTGGAATACTGAATGGTACAGTATTTGTAAAATACACGGGGATTTATGATATGTAAAATGAACCAAGGAAAGAGAAGAAGGGAAGTCATGGGGGAAGGGAAGGAATGTAAAAATGAGTATTTTAAATTGTAAAACAGAAAATTTAATAAAAAATTATATACAAAAAAATAAAAATAAAATAGGCCCTGAGGCGAGGCGACAGCCTGACTGGAATAGGCCCCAGTGCTTCCCTTGCCTGCTTCCCTCACTCTCTTCTCCCTTCCCAAAGGACAGATGGTATCTGTTGGCCCTTGTGGGTGGCACGCGGGTGGATAGGTGACATCTTGCCAACTGCCACATATATCATTATTTCTAGGGCGCTCAATGTGCTAGGCATGATGCAAAGCTTAAACAGACAGGCTTCCTGCTGGAACAAACCAATCAAGAGATGGACTGGAAAGAATGGGGAGAGAGGGCACTCTGCCAAATGCTGGGACTGATAGATTAAAAACAACCACAACTGGACTGGAATAATTTGAAAGGGGAAAAACTGAGACGGCAAAAGGGGGGGCGGCAGGGAAGAGCAGAAAATGAATGCAAATGTGAAATGAGAGGTGGGTGGCAAAAGGTTTTTTAACAAGAAGGTTCCAGTTTCAGAATAATAGTAGTAATGAAGAGAGTTCAGGCAAGGAGAAAAAGACACAAGGATGGTACAAGGATGAGGAGGAGTGAGGCCGTGGAGAGACTTGAAGGTCAGGAGAACCTGAAAAATTAATATGAAATGGAAGAGGAAGTCAGTGGAGGGAACAGTTGAGAGGAGTAATGTGGTCAAATTGAGAAAGCGAAGAAAGATGAGATCGGCGAAAGAACTGAGCACAGGAATAAAGGGTTTGAGAGGAGAGTCAGGGAACTCAGTTAGATAGCAGCCATTCTTCGGGCAGAAATGAATAGGGGCTTGAAGAGGAAATTTTGAAACAAAGTGGGGGGAAGTAGAAAGGAAGAGGTGGATTATGGCGATATAATGAAGAAAAATGTGACAGGAAAGGTTCGGGCAAGAGAATAATACTGTCTTCTGGTGACCTAATACCTCATAAAAGAACATGAGGCCTTATACTCAGGGCTTGTCCATACTTTGGCTTGTCCCATGCCGGGAAAGCACAGGTCTCAGCAGTTTCCCACTTTTCTCATGCTTTCTAGCCACAACTCTGAGTGGTTTTGCGCATGCCCCACTACTTTCCACCAAGAAAACCCTCTCTTTAGTAATATGTCGGAGCAAACATGCGGAACGCCCTCCTACCAGATGTCAAAGAGAACAACAACTACCAGATATCTTCAGATATCTTCTAAAAGATATCTGAAGGAAGCCCTGTTTAGGGAAGCTTTTAATGTCTGATGTATTACAGTATTTTAATATTTTGTTGGAAGCTGCCCAGAGTGGCTGTGGAAGTCCAGCCAGATGGGCAGGGTATAAATAAATTATTATTATTATTATTATTATTATTATTATTATTATTATTATTATATTATTATTATTATTATTATTATTATTATTATTAAACATCAATCTGGAGAAAAGTCGATTGAAGGTTTTCCTGGTGGAAAGCCGTGGGGCAGGAGCAACTCTGGATAAGCCCTGAATCAGACCATTGGGCCATTTAGATCAGTATTATCTATGATGATTGGCGGTGGCTTTCTGGCCAGAGCCTTCCTCAGTCTTCCTGGGAGATGCCAGAGATTAAACTGGGATAAAAAATAAATCATCCAAGGGCATAATGCCTCTTGCTAAACGGATGGTGCAAAGCCATTTGGGATGGTATTCAACTACGTTTTACTCAGAGGAGACCTGCTGGAATTAATGGACCTAACGTAGTCATGTTCATTAATTGTCATGGGTCTATGCTGAACAAAACTTAGCTGAGTCCTACCCATTGGATACTGTGCAAATTTCTCATCACCACACTTAAAAGGGGATATTTTGGAGTTGGAAACCACGTAGAGAAAGGCATCCAAACTGATCATGAGGCTGGAGCAATTCCCCTGTGAGGAAATGTTACATTTGGGGCCTTTTATTATAGAAAAACATGGGGAGTAAGGTGTTAGCGGTGTCTACAATTATGCATGGTGTGGGAGATGTAGAGAGATTTCCACCTCCGCTTCCGTCATTTGTACTAGAAGCCAAAGTCACCCAAGAAAGCTGAATGTTGGAAAATTCTGGACAGACAAAAAGGAAATACTTGGTGCAGCTCATGGAATTTGCCACCACAAGGTGCGGTGAGGACGACCAACTCGAATGGAAGGGGACTAGACAGATTCATAGATGGTGGTCTCTCAATGGCTACTAGCTGTGAAGTCAGAGGCTTGAACGCCAGTCACTGGGAAGCGATTGTACACACGGCCTCGCTTGCATGCTCCTTCTGGTTGGCAACAGTCAAAAAGGAATGCTGGACTAGGTAGGACAGGACTCTTCTTGTATAAAGCCCTAGGGAGAACAACCCACACCTGTGATTTGAGAGTTCAGATCTTGGGACCACTTGGTGTGGAAACGTCAGGGTGCTGTTGGCAGCTTCTGGCAGATTCCCAGGAAAGCAGTGAGATAGAAAAACAGCAAGCTTTTTTTCAGTTCTGTTTATTAATACAATTTACAGATATGGATGAAAGATGCACTGTAATGTTAGGACATTGTCCCAAGTGAAGCTCCACCCCCACCCCCCGTTCTCCGTTACTTCCCTATTCAACTGACTCCTCCCCCTGTCTCCGACGGTGGCTGATACATGACATTTGCCTCTGAGCTCTCTGTTCTGCTATTCTCAGCGAACGCCTGGTTTTAGGGGAGGGTACGGGTTCTGGGATGCTCTCCAGCGACAGCATCTCATTCAACTGCTGCTCAGGCTCTGCCTGCTGAATGCTATCCACTTCCTCTTCCTCTCCCATTATTTCCCAACTTTTGCCCTCATCTCCATCTGAGGTCTGTGAAATATACTCGGAGTGAAGTGTGAATTTCATGCTTTATTCAGCTCGTAGTAGCAATGAACGAATCTTTCCCCAAAACATGTAGCTATATGTACATTATTTACACAATGGGCCCCACGTGATTGGCTAATTCCGGGCTGCTCCTGTAGGCCAATCAGGTTGCGGATTCACTTCCTCCAGAAGCCTGATTGGCTGCTCCTGCAGGCCAATCAGGTCGCTGATTCACTTCCACCTGGAGCTGGATTGGTTAGCTCCTGCGGACCAATCAGACTGCTGCATTCTGGATCCGATTGATCTAGGATTCAACTCAGTACATAACAGTCTGCCCTGTGCCAAACCACTCCTGGAGGTCTATGATATCTGCCCCTTCCTTCTCTCTAGATGACGCCTGGGTTGACGGTCTCCACCACTCTTCCTCATCTACCCAGTCCCTGACAGGAAACTAGGCTTGTATTTTACATACAAAAGCTCGACATGAAATCCATTTCCCTTGCCAATCAGAGCAATTATTCCAACAGATCGCTTCCCATTTCCCTCCCTTCGAACGTAATATTTAGAATGGAATTCTAACTTCCTTCCGGTATGATGGCGGACAGCACTCTACTAATGTGAGCCCATTGATTTTATCTTTTTATTTTCTCTTACTCCTTTTAAAGACTATTTTAATGAATATTGAGCTCAGATAATTTTAAGCACCTCACCCCATTCCATCCCACGCTCCGCTTTCCTGACTCTTCTTGGAGCTTTAAAGCCGCATTGACTATCTTATCATACTGCGAAGAGCTTACAGGAAGATTCATGGGCTGTTCCCACCACAAGTCTGGAGGTACAGACGGAGCATAACTTAGTGTTATGCCAATAACCTTTGGCACACTCCTCCTCCTTGAATAGGATACTTTCAAGGAAAATACTCCCTCGACTCTTTGAAAAATTTAGGGAAGATAAAAGAGCGAGGCAAAGGGAGAGATGACTCAGCAATTAGACAGCCCTGCTGATGCGAGGAGGGGGGTTGGCAAACGCTGCAGAGAATCGGAGGACTCAGAGGAAATGGCATGTTTGCCCCTTACCAAGCAAACCAAAATCAGCGAATTCTTCCATGGAAAAACAAAGGACATTTTTAATATTCCGACCTCGAACAGTTTCTCGCCATTAGCAGAGATAATAGATAAGGAAATTACACCGAAGGAACCACCCACTAAACAACCCATTAACTCCTTAAACAACTCCACCACGAGACCAAAAGGCCCAAAAAAAGGTCCAACTATGCCCATTCAGGCGGAAGACTGCATCGGAGAACAAGCAAACTATCTCTCTGAATTACTGCTTGAACACTCTACCACGTTAGACCTAGTGGCTAAAACCGTGGACTGTATCTTTAAATATATAAGAGACATCAAAGGCTCCTTAGAGAATATTACATCCTTTGTATCCCCAAAAGTGAATGTCAGCCCTGTAGACGTTTCACCGGAGGATAGGGCTGAACCAACGCCCAGAGTACCTGCCCTATTACGTCTAACCCCGCAGACTGGCTGCAAATCTGAAAACGAACAATCTATGGAAGATTCACACACCATATCTTCCTATAATCTTTCGTTACAAGCCACTAGACTTTGTTTAATTATCCTTCCCTTCAAAGGTCAGGTTGTTAACTGGTCGTCTACACATGTCGCAAGAAGGCATTTGGCTGAGCTTCTGGGCATAGATCCTCTTTCCATCGATCTGAAATCCGCTGTCCACATTTACAGCAAGCCACACAGGCAGAGGATACTGCTCACCTTTGATTCTAAAAAGCTTCCAACTTATATGATGTCCTTACGAAGCTACCTGACTAATTATAGAATTTTTATCACAAGAGTTTTTATCAACACTAAGATTTGCCCTCTTATTCCCTACTCTCCAGTTAAAAGGAAAGCAATTAAAAATGAGGGCATTCCATCTACTACGAGCTCTACCTCTCCACCCTCAGACTTAATTAGTTGGACAGAGACCCCCATGCCCCTCCTATCAAAGGCTACTCATCTTGAGAATTCGATGGAGCAGGAATTACTTGTCTCCTTCTCCCATCTGCCAAAAGCCGAACAAACAGAGATAACGGACAGACTAGATGAGTTATTACTCTATCTCCGCAACTTTGAAGATCTAGCGCCCATAAAAGAGGCAAATATTCCACCTAACTTGGAGCGAAAAATGGGTCATGAATCTCCTCAGGTCACGGCAGAACACACACCTCTACTCTGCCCATCTGAAATCCACGCCGAAATCTCTGTGGCGCCCCTAATCACATTACCGGAGACTCAACCATCCAATGGTTGCATCTTCCACGACCCCGGGAAAACACTAGATGCTATTGAAGAGACAAAATGACTCTCACCCCTACTACTATCCTGGAACGTTGCTGGATGGCAATCGAAAACAAGGGACAAAGACGTTTTAACCTACGTATCACAGTTCAAGATCATCCTGCTCCAAGAAACCTGGATGCAAAATCCTTTCGAACTACACAATTACTTTGCTTTCCATTCCCCTGCCTCAATCGGCCCAAAAGGCGGAAGACCGGCGGGAGGTTTGAGCACCTTCGTATCGACAGATCTAGGAGCCTCCCTATCCAATTGAAAATCGAAAACACATGGATTTTGGCCGTTAAAATATTCTCCACCCATTTTAAGATCATATGCATCAATGTTTATATTCACCCACTTATGAAACAAACTGATCTTAAAAACATCTGGAACGAACTGGAAGACTGCATTCTCCTTGTCTCAAATAAGTTTCCCTCTGCCTCCTTAATTATTGGTGGGGATTTTAATGCAAGGCTAGGCCACTCAGACGAACAGTTAATCAAGGAAAGTGGAATGGGTCCCCTAAATGCTAATGATGAATATTGGCCCCTATTCAGGCGTCACTCACTTGACCCAGTCACCAATTTTGCTGGTACATGTCTTTTTTAATGGCACTTAGATTAAACCTTGTTATTTTAAACGGCCTCTCCTCGGGGACTGCCCTGGCCAATTTACTTACTGGTCAGGCCTAAGGCATTCTGTTATTGACTACATCCTTGTCTCCCAAGAACTTTTCGATGAATATATTGAATTTACTGTAGATATAAGAACCGAAAGTGACCATTTACCCCTAAATCTTAAAAGGACTGAATTTTGGGAACCCTCTAGATGTGGGCTTGCCCCGCAGACTCCTGATCCTAGCGCTTTACAACAAATAGGTAGATCCAGAATTAAATGGTCCCCTTATGTTAATAACCATTTTGGTATTTGGACACAATCAATGGAAGGTCAACTCCTCTGGGCTGATCTGACTTCCAACGACACTGAAGAGACCTCCCCAATTGACCATTATAACACATTAATCCGAAAACTCCAACCGTTATTGTCAAGACCCAGAAGATCTAACCAAAATGACTCCCCTACCAACAAAAATGGTTTGACCACGAATGCACTCAGGCAAAACTTATACTCAGGGAATGCTTTAAGGTCTTCCAGCAAAATCCTAACCCTATCACTAAATTGGAGTTACAACTTAAAAAAAAGAACTACAAAGAGTTATTAAAAACCAAAAAAAGAACCGCAGACTCTCTCATCTGGCAGGCCCTCATAAAAGCGTCAATAGAAAAAGACAATTCTAATTTCTGGAAAATTATCTCCAGTCAAACCAAAGCTCCTAATGAGGGCACAATAATCCCTGCAAATTCATGGGAAGAGCACTATAAAGTGCTGTTTAGGGAAGATCGTCCTTCTGCGCCGCTTAACATCCCCTTAGATAATGATACACCATGGCCCCCAACATCTGAAACTGAAATCGCTTCGCTAATTCTACAAATGAAATCTGGCAAAGCCCCAGGAAGTGATTTCATTGTCGCTGAACTTTTGAAAGCGCAAATAAACTGGTGGGCCCCGGTCCTTGCAAATCTATTTTCATATATAGACAAGACAACTGAAATCCCTAAAGATTGGGGACTAGCTATAATTGTTCCCATATTTAAAAAGGGCAACCCCTCTGATCCATCTAATTATAGACCAATTAGTCTCCTGAATGTGATCTGTAAACTTTATACAAAACATCTATGCCTAAAATTATGGGAATGGTTAGATCATAACAACTTGCTAGAAATTGAACAAGCAGGGTTTACACCCGGACGTTCCACCATTGATCACTGCTTGGTGTTAGATTACTTTGTCTATAAGTATGCGAAATATTGGAAAAAGTCATTATATGCGGCCTTTGTGGACCTAAAGGCAGCATTTGATTCTGTATCTAGGAGCAGGCTCTGGGCCAAATTGGCCAATATGGGTATTAACAGAAGGTTATTACTTCTGATGATTAAGCTTCATGAGAACAATACCCTCCAGATAAGACTTGCACAGGACGGCAGACTCTCTAGAGAAATCCCAGTCCAAAGAGGAGTTAGACAAGGATGCCTATTAGCCCCATTCCTATTTAACATCTATGTTAACTCCCTGGTCACATGCTGCCGTGAAATTGAAACCCACCCCCCTGTGTTCTCTAATGGCAGAAAAGTACCAATTTTAATGTATGCGGATGACGCTGTTCTTCTCTCTCAAACCAAAGTGGGTCTGAAACGTGCCTTAGGAAAGTTTAGTGACCAATGTAACACTGAACTGCTAACAATTAACTTTGCCAAAACCAAAATTGTACATTTTAACCGCTCCTTCAGGAAGGATAATTGGAGCGTAAAGGGAAACGCCATTGAACAGACTAAGACCTTCCAATATTTAGGCATTACTTTCTCTTATAATGCCAAATTCTCAGCACACTTGACCACATCAGCTATATCAGCAGAAAGAAGTGCAAATGCTATCCTTAGATTATTCAGAAGGAAAGGAGCTGGCTTCCTCCCGATGGCCCTAACAGTCTTTCAGGCAAAATCTTTAGCCCAACTTCTATATGGCTCTCAAATTAGCCCCTCTGCCAACCTTAAGACCCTTGAAACAGTACAATCTAAATTCTTAAGATCATTATTTGCTACCCCTAAGTGTACACCTAATGCAGTCTTAAGGCAAGAGGCAGGACTGCCCAGAGTGGAATTAAAAGTCTGGGAACAAGCAATATCCCTCTGGCTGAAAATCCATTACAATCCTAAGGGTCTATTACCTTGCTTCCTGGCCGCAGTTCCCTATCCTCCTTGGCTTATGCAAATAACTAACAAGATCAAACAAATTGGCCTAAACCCTGAAAATATTTTTATTGGAACTCTGAACAAGGCAAAAGCTACTATTACTCGGAGACTTTATGATATCGAATTACAACAAGAAGGCGCCCTACTCCCAGAGACGTATAGATGTTTAAAAGCTTGGCCTAATTTTACAGCTGCCCCTTACTTAACCAACATCACTAGCGAAGCCTATAGATGGGCTTTCTCTAGAGCCCGCTTTGAGACAATGCCCTCAGCAGTGCTGTACGGCAAATTCACGCGGGTTCCAATGCATGCGCGTCTCTGCCCTTGTATGTCTAATAAGGTAGAATCTGTCACACACATTCTTCTATCTTGCGAATTCTATAGTGAAGAACGAGCTCAACTTATTTTACCGCTTCTATCAAAATTTATACCCCTTCAAGATTATTTGGACTCCTCCCTGAAATTCTTCGAAAATACCTCCTGGAAGATTCCTCAAGCTCAGTATCATATGAGGTGGCTAAATTTTGCACTTTAGTAATTAAGAAACGTAAATCTCTTCTGTTAAATGGCACACTGCGAAGTTCCCTTGTGTAACCTTTTTTCTTTTCTGAAGTTGTTGCTGATTTCTTGTTGTCTGATCTTGGGATGTTTAGTGTCACTGGCTTTGGCCGCAATAAACTTGAACTTGAGAATGGAATTAAAATTGCACAGCCATTGATCCTGACATTTTTGTTGGTTCCTTGAGTAATTCAGCACCCACATGCCATTTAGGATCTGTGTCTTTGTGGTGTAGGAAGAAAGCACCTTTTATTCTAAAAACGACGTTGGTTTTATGTGAGACGGCTCCTCTTTTTTAAATGGTGCATTTAAAAACACATTGGATATCACTTTGTCCCCAGGGGGGCCATTCTGGTGTGTGTGGAATACCTTAATAGGCATTTTACAGCTTCTTAACTGTCTCCTGCTGGAAAAATGTGAAGGAATATTGCACCAGGTTAAAAATACTAGAATTAATAGAACTCTTGAGAGCCTCTTGGATCAAACATCCCCTCAGCAATTGCTTAATGGCTTTATACAAATGCTAACGCCACGAACTGCCGAGAATACCTGAAATGTGCAGGTGGTCTCAGCAACACATTTAACATAAAAAATCCCCCCAACTGTGCATATGGTACAAAATATATTGTAGAATCTCAACCATTTGTAATGCACTTCAAAGACATGGAGTGACAAATGAGCTTTTCACAAGGTATAAGGGGGGAGAGGAGAATGACTATGCGATTTGGCTTTTGAATCTGGGCCACAATGGATGTCCAACTACATCAGGAATGGGCGGCATTAGCTCACCACAACTCCTCTGCCAGCAATGGGTGTAACCACTGTGGGGACCGCAATGGCAAGGAATATGGCATCTGCTAAGCTCTTCAGAGAGGGACACGGGTGGAGAGGGACGCGGGTGGCGCTGTGGTCTAAACCACAGAGCCTAGGGCTTGCCGATCAGAAGGTCAGCGGTTTGAATCCCTGTGACGGGATGAGCTCCCATTGCTCGGTCCCTGCTCCTGCCAACCTAGCAGTTCAAAAGCACGTCAAAGTGCAAGTAGATAAATAGGTACCGCTCCGGCGGGAAGGTAAATGGCGTTTCTGTGTGCTGCTCTGGTTCGTCAGAAGCGGCTTAGTCATGCTGGCCACATGACCTGGAAGCTGTACGCTGGCTCCCTCGGCCACAACCCTAGAGTCGTCTGCAACTGGACCTAACAGTCAGGGGTCCCTTTACCTTTACCTAAGCTCTTCAATAAGTTACGCAGACTTCAATCCAACTGCATTCACCTGGGTCAGTTTGTCAGTGGTCAGACGTGCCAACTCTAGGGGGCCAAGGTGTTTCCAGCCTCCTCAATATTTGTTGGAAGGTGGCCAGGCCCCCTCTATGATGAGGAGGTGGAGGAAGAAGAAGAGTTTGGATTTGATATCCCGCTTTATCACTACCCGAAGGAGTCTCAAAGCGGCTAACATTCTCCTTTCCCTTCCTCCCCCACAACAAACACTCTGTGAGGTGAGTGGGGCTGAGAGACTTCAGAGAAGTGTGACTAGCCCAAGGTCACCCAGCAGCTGCATGTGGAGGAGTGGGGAATCAAACCCGGTTCACCAGATTACGAGTCCACTGCTCTCCACTACACCACACAGGCCGAGTGCGAAACCAAGTGTGGCGCAGCTTCAG